TTAAATTCAGTTTCAATGAAATGGGCGGCCTGGTACCATTTGATCCACGGGGAGCACTGGCCTAGAGCATGAAAATAGTTGCCTAAATAAGAACAAAAATAAGACTAAAATTTTATTAGACTTAATTGTCATATACAATGATCCATTTAGTCAAGTTAGTGGCAAATATGATAATTTTTATATAAATGTTTGTGTTCTAGCACTAAATTTGTAAATAAAAGAAATTAGTATAGTTGCCGAAAATTAAATACTTTTAATTACTAGAATTCATTCAAAAAAATACTTTTTCATTAAAAAAAAAACACTTATTCTAAGAAATTTTCCCTTTCATCAATAATTGATGTGGCAAATAATATATATTGTGAAAAGTGATTGCTCAAATTCAAAATTCATGCATCGTAATATCGTATTAAAAATTAGGTTTTTTAAAATTGTGCAGAATTTCTCAGCAAAAACCCGTTGAAAAGACGATCAAGAAACGAAATAGACTTACGATAGAATCTGTGCAAATTGAACGCATTGAAAAGTGATGACTCAAATTTGCAATCTAAACTTTTTCATTTATTAATGTTTTAATTATTTATTTAATTTTTATTATTTTTATTTCACATTTTTTATTTTTGAAGAAAAAAAATTTAGTGTGTTCAGAAGATTTCGCGGGCTGCAGATTTTCAACCCAATTTATGTTTAAAAAAAAACATTGCTGGAGTACAGAAAAGTCTCCTAATAGTCTCCTTTTCCTGAAAATAGTTGCTTTTTTTAGCCTTTTCAGGCAACAACAAAAAATTGCCATAGTCGCCTCATGTTGAAAATAGTTGCATTTTAGTCGCCTGTGACAACCCTGAAAATGTTGACATCATGCTTAGAAATTTTTAAATCCCATCCCCTCTCAATTTGACACCCTACTACTCTACACTCTCCATAAATGTAAATTTGATTTATTTAAATTTTTTCAACCAGAACCTGCTTTCCAAACATATGTGAAATACCAGATGCTGTTGCATTTGAATGAGATGCATTTGTGGCTAATGATAATGCAAAATATGCTATTCTCTTTAGAAAAGTTAATTTTTATTTTAGGCATACTGAAGAAAGCAAACCTGTTGCAACACCTCAACCAGAAAATTTTATTTTCAAGGAAAGCCCCAATTTTACCAGCATGCTTTATCGAAGAAAAAGTGAAACAATGCTGTCTTAACTTCATTTTTTATTTTATGTCTCCATTGAGATATGAAGTTATAAACTATGTAAACTCGTATCATCATTAAATAATTGTATGTGATTTACAATTAAAATAAATTAAAACACTCTTTGTCATTTAGTGTGATGAATGTAATGGGACTTCTTATGTAAATGAATGTTGACATCACGCTTAAAAATATTGAAATCCCACCCCCTCTTAATGTGACACTCTGGTACTCTACACTCCATAAATGTAAATTTGATTTATTTCAATTTTTTCAACCAGAACCTGGCTTCCAAACATGTGAAATGCCAGATGGTGTTGTATTTGAATGAGATGCATTTGTGGCGGCTAATTATAATTTAAAATATGCCACTCTCTTTAGAAAGGTTAAATTTTATTTTAGGCATACTGAAGAAAGCAAACCTATTGTAACACCTCAACCTGAAAATTTTATTTTCAAGGAACGCCCCAATTTTACCAGCATGAAAGAAAACATACAAAGAAAAGGAAAGAATACAAAGAAAAGGTGAAACAATGCAGTGTTAACTTCATTATTTTTTAATTATTTTATGTATCCATTGAGATATGAACTATGTAAACTCGTATCATTATCATAAATGTTATGTGTACTTGCTTAAAATGAAATAAAACATTCTTTGTCATTTAGTGTAGAATTCTTTTTATTTAATTACATTGTTTCCAATGAGATATGAAACATACAACCTCGTACGATAAATACTAATCTGTACATTTAATTTACTGTTCAAGGGAAATAAAATTGCCTTATTTGGCCCTTTACATAAAATGACAATACACAGTATTGTTTAACTAGATAAAAGTGTAAACACCATTCATATAATGATACACATGTTTTTATGTATGTAGGAAGTAAGCTCCTGGCTTCATTTTTGTATCACAATACAAACTTAGCCAGAAGCATAAGTGCTGAAGTAATATACAGCAGTGCAAAGGAGAATATGTGACAACAAAATTAAATATATCCACAAAATTGTCACATCAACTTTTTCTAATATACATTTATAAATTATTTACAATATTATAAGTACAACAAATATACAACATTGAGCCTGCTCATTGTGTATACATAAATTTGAACAAAACAAAAAATTACATCTACTACAAAAAGTAACACATTTTTTTAGAGTTGCTTTATGTGATAATGCATGATAATTTTTTTTAAATTAATTTTTGTTTCCTTGTACTTTCAACTAGAAAGGCTTCACTAACTGTGATTTTCTACTTTAAAAAATCAAGTTGTGAATACTTATGTCAACATATCAAAGTAACTTTTCTTTAATAAATTCGTTTTTTCTTGAAATGGATAAAAATATTGCAACTCAAGAAAGTTATTGATTAATTAATTTTATATCAAAACTTTGGTAATTTCTGCTTTTGCATTTTTTACATATCATGTTCATGTATTAGATGATTGCTGGTTTTAATTTTGTAATATTTGAGGCTGTCAATTTACTAAAATAGAAAAACTTACATGAAAAAAAGATCAAGTAAACCACCTAATAAAAGTTTTTACAGAAATTTAAATTACATTAAGTCGCTTAATTTTCAAAACGTACAGAAATACAATTTACATAAAAGTAGAAATTAATATAACAGCTGAATATTAAGCAAATTAGAAAGAATGAATTCATGGGAAAAATTTAAAGATTTTGAATTTAAAATACATCCCTAGCTACTAGGAAATAGGAAAAAATAATTTTTCACTTGTAAATTTAAATCCTGGAATCGGCTAGATTAACAATTGAGATTTTGGATATTTTTCATAATAGACTATGTTGGTTTGTTGCCATAAATTTAAAAATTTGCTATATTTAATTACTTTTCTTATAAAAAAAAAACTATCTTAAACATATTTGCAAATGTCCCTTATATTTATAAATCTAATATCCCATCAATTAAAGTATACATTTACGTTTCCTATAGGAAATATAATTTATTAAAAATCCCCCTAATTTTTTTCTATGCAAGCAAAAATTGTTCACAATACAACGATTTGTAATGCAAAAGTTATTTTGCCATATACCATTTAAAATGAGCAAGTAATAAGATACAGAATGATCAGAAAATATTGTATCTTGTTTCTTCAATTAAAATTACATTCTGAGCAATACATTATTTTACAGCAATAGTTAATTGCAAAATAATGTAGTTGTGCAAATTTTAAAACCAATTTAAAAAATATTTCTTACATAAACATTTCAACTTCCAGCATTTTAAAAAACAGTCTTAATACAACATCCTAAGTATTTTATCCTATATAATTCCTTATGATAAAATTTACCCACTATTTTAATAAAATGTCTTAATGCAATCCTGCATTTTATCCTTAATAATTCATTATGATAAAATTTTGTTAATTAACAACTTTCACAATTCAAACATCTTACATTCAAGTTTTTACAGTATTTAAAAAGATATTTTACAAATTTAAAACAACGGTAAAAATTTTATTAACTAAACTGGAGTTCTGAAACTCCATGGAAGTCATTTCAGATTATAAAACAAGACTAGAAATGTCACCAACCAGTAACATGCATTTCTGATTGCCAATAGGAACTGTAACGTTATAAATTTCATTCTAATGCATTCATACGAATCTTATTTACATTGTATTTAATATAGGAAGCTCAAATAAAACATTTGTAGCCAAATTCAACACTTATCAATGTTCAAATATATTCCAAATTTTAAAAATGACGTAAAACTTTAATTAGTCAAAAAATTTGATTCACAGTTAATTTGTGGTTCTGTAACCAATAGCATTCAGACAGTTCCATGTGCAACAATTTATATTTGATTGCAAAACAATCTTACTAAAACACAACTTAAAATTTCTTTCTTTTCAATAATACATAAATTTAATATTTTTGTCTGAACAGAGAGGCTCATAAACATAATATCTGAACCAAACTTATTTTACATTTTCTCGTAAATTAGCTTGTCACAAATGTTCAGCCCTTTGGGAACATTGTTAGTATTGCTGCACATATTTTTTGAGGATTTGTTTCTTGGGGATATAAATCCATTACTGTTTGTACTTGTTCTTTTGGGAATATAGAAGCTAAATGATAAAACAGACGATATCTTGCATTGTCTGAAAAATCTGGTGAGGCTGCTCGTCCTTGATGTTGACTCATCAGTCCACTATGTATTCCTGGAGGTGGAACACTAGAGGGTCTCACAGGCTGGCTAAGCACTTGAGATGTACCTCTTGCAATACCTGAAGGTGATTGCTCTTGCCAAGATGAACCCATCATCTGCAGTCCAGCGGATGACATGGGTCTTGGTGGGTCTAATCCATGGCTTTGTGATAACCATTGACGTTGTATATCAGGAATACCACTGATTGGAAGATGATGAGTCTGAACTTGTAGATCTGGATACATATTTAAACGTGTATCTGATGTGCTGTTCAAATGCTGCATTCTAGATGAAGGCGGCCATTGGTTATATGAATCTGGAGCACTAGCAATTCGAGTTACAGTTTGATGCTCGGCTTCAACACTGTCCCAAATGTGAGAGGGTACATTTGAAGCAACTCTACTATCACTACCCATTCTGCTTAAAGGTTGATGAGGGATGTTACCTAAAGCAGTCTGTAAACGGTGCACATTTTCTTGGCTGCTCGATCTTGGAATTAAATCACTTTGTTCATGTTGTGGCTTTAAAAGACTGTATTGCTGTTCTGCAAGTGGTGAGATCATTTGGTGTGATCTGCCAACCAATTGCATTAATCGAGGGTCATATGCAGGATTCAGAGTAAGCTGACGCTGCAACTTTCGATGCAGGTTAACCACCTCTGGCGCCTGGTGACCATGAGTCTGAGAAGTTTGCTTGGGAAAACTTTTCATGTTTTTATTATCCGGATCAGATAATCGTTTAGCTACAAAAAGATGACCACCGCCTCCTTCTGGTTCTAAAAACCTTTCCGCACAGGACCCTACAATATTTGGTGGCAATGTTGTAGGAATTGTTGCCCAACTACCACTTGGCGTGTGTGGAGATTGCGAAGACTCTGATGGTAGAGATATTTGTGGCATTGTTGTCGACCAAGACTGTCTAAACCCACTAGACGGACCATAACAAGAACTTCCCATTTTAAGTAACTTCTCTCTTTCTTCTATTTTTGCAGCTCCTTCACTTTTCGTTCTTTCAACTAAATTACTTTTTAATGATCCTTCTTCAGAAAGATTAGAGGATGGCACAAGGGATTTAGTTCGAGAGAGAGGTTGCTTCTTTGACTTGGCACTAACAGAGCTCTGGACTGCTTGTGATTTCAGCTTATCTCCTAAAAAAGTAATGTGAAATTTACAAACTAAAAAAATATAAGCATAGAAAATTTTAGTTTAAATTTTATTAGAAACATTAGATATCCACATAAACAAAGAAAAAAAAATCCAGGTAAAAGTGATTTTCTCTATAAAAATATGATGTGCTTAATTCAAAAGTAATAAATTCAGTAAAATTTATTTGATTGTAGATAAGGTACAACTGTTGGATTTTTTTTATAATGCATATAAATTGACTAGCTAAAGCTCTCGGGAATCCATATTTTATAGCACATAACAAGTATTTCATGGCACAAAGCTTGGTGACTGAATTCAATTCATTCAAGAACTAGTGCTTTTATAAGATGCATAAATTTTTAAGCATGGCAGTACACAACACTCAAAAATTTCAATACCATGTAATAAATTAGGTTAAGCAGTGAATCAGCCTATATAAAAATAAATGTAAATGTGGCCCATAAAAGTAAAACCTTCCAGATGATAATCCTCTTGATGATTAAAAAAATTTTTGTGGGTTTTGCAATCTTTATCTTCTTATGCTTCAAAAGTTCATAATACGCATCTCAAACAAAATTAAAATATTTATTTTTTATGCAGAGAATGAAATAAAATTAGATCTTTCACAAATAACGCTACACCCAAAAGGGTCTTGGATCTAACAAGTAAAATGATAACACAATTCTTTTTTCCTTAAATGAATTTTGTTCAATGCAAAATCCATAAATTTGATAGATTTATATTAAAATTCAAAGAAAGGAGGTACATAACATTGATCATGGATATTTTTAAAAAAAGCTATTGTCAACTTTAAAGCTTGTATAATTTCATAGCAACTTTTTTTTCAAAGTATTTTTATCTACAAGTTTTAAGAACCAGTATAGGAGTTTCTATACAAAGTAAGTTAAAAATTTTAACATCCCATCACTGGTTTTCACCAAGTTATTTATTTCAAGGTGCCAAATTTTATGTACATTCTAACAATTAAGTGAACTTCCTTAAGAATGTTCTGGAATAAAACTCTACATCTGTCATCTTCTGCGTTAACTTATGGAGAATTAATACCAATCTCCTTTTTAATAAGTCACTTATTAATATTTTGGGTCTTTTTTATTAAATTTTATTCATTCATTAAAGTGCCTTTTACCATTTTTTAAGTACATTTAAAATTGATCAATCTTTACCGAAGTGACAATAGACGATAAATTATTAGTTAAGCTTAAAATAAATTTTAAAAATACTTAAAATTATCAAAATTCGAATTCAAAAACTAAACTTCATAATGACAATTAAAAATACTTACAACCTTAAAATTTAGTATATTTGGTAGCTAGGTTCATTTAACTGATTAAAATAAGACAAAAAATATTCCTAAATATAAATTAGTTAATGAATAAATAATAAATTGTGTTCATATAATTCCCCTTAAATTAATATGAAAATTTTTTCTGTTCAAAATTTTTACTGCAATATTGCCTAGAAATACAGACGTGACTCATTTTATTTTGTTAATTTCTCCTGTTTTTTTAACTTGTAACGATGGTTTACAATTAGCTTATTGCTTATTCATAACATAATAACATTTTAATTTATGTACATAATGTACGGCTGTGACTCATTTTATTTTCTTAATTTCTCCTGTTTTTTAACTTGTAACGATGGTTTACAATTAGTTTATTGCTTATTCATAACATAATAACATTTTAATTTATTTACCAGGAGAAGATTCTCTGCTTTGTAAACCCCTTGATTTTACTTCTTGCAATGGTATTTTAGCTTGCTCAGCTAATCTCTCAGTTACAGATTTCTGTGGCTGGTTCCCTCTCTCAGGATGGTGATATTTGCATTTATTTCCATAAGTGCACTTTTTCCCATAGGGACATGGAGGGGGCAAAGGTTCTACTGGTCTATATGCAGAATGGGATTTACGTAAAAAGCTTTCCAAAGAGGGGCCGTGTCTCCCTAAAGGATCATCTGGTGGCATGAACCTAAGAAGGAAAATTAGTTAAAGGAGGCATACTTACTAAGCATTTGCAATCAAATCAATATTTAAAAAATGTGATTAATACTTATTTTTATTAAGAAAAACTTGAATATTTAAAGTTATGCATTTAGTGTGTTTAAAAAATTATACACAACAATTAAATTTAAAAGGATTTTTAGAAAGTCAGATTTCATGTTTTAAACTACTTAAGTTTTCTTCAATGAATAAAACAATATACAAACTTTTCATGAACAAAAAAAATACATAGGAAAATGCAATGTAAAAATTCAGAATTGTTTTGCATTTGACCCAAACAGTTTCTTTTCAACAACAGTTTATTGAGATTTTCAAGACAAGAGGCTGAAATATATCACTCAGGAAATAAATAAATCAATAGTCCTTTGCACCATTCCTAATGGATGATTCATATTCACGTTCATAAACGTATTTCTATTGGTTGCTAACTGTACCTAATTGTTCAATTATGGAATATCAGTGGACAGGTAAGTGAAGTGAATAGAAAGTAGTCCTTTGTTATGGACAAACCAAATGACTGGCAGTCAAATTAATGGAAATATTTTACATGATGCGTCTCTATCATAACGGCTGTTAAAATAAAGATGCTATTTAAAAGATAATATGCCACTTTTATAAATGTTGTGAATTTGTAATAGTTGTCCATGACTCTTTGGTCAATTTTTGCTTTCTTTTTTCCAATATTAACTAAATATGAAAATGAAGCAAACAGTCAATATGTAGGAAAGTTTTGTGAAAATAAAAAACATTTCTAATCTAGTATATTAATATTTAAAAAGTTACACCAACGTTGCATTATCTGGGATCATAAAAATTTGCAAAAATTGAGAATTTGGTGCCTGCAACTCGTGAAAAGTGAAGTGATCATGCCTAACCATCTATATTATATAAAACGCTAATACGTACGTTTGTATCAATAAAACCGATGATATTTCTTTTCTCGCGTTGGCAACAGTTTTCATTTTTAATTATTGGCTTCGGCGCGCAAGAGCACGTAGTGAGCATCATATGGATAATCTATATTATTCGCGATCGCAACGCTCGAGTACGCCGTCTAGCGGGAGACTGTAAATATCGGACACTAATTTATCACGTTTTCATTTAGTTCCATCAAAGTCATTGACTGAATCAGACGCCATTTTTTAGCAGCAAATAAGAAACAAAATTTCCCTAAGGAAAAGGCCGAAGAACTTGAAAAAAATCTCCAGAATATTAGTAAATCTTTCAGGAACAGAACACGCCAAACATTTGAAGAAAAATTCCT